GACAAGAATTCTCAACTGCATAAAATTTCTTGCAACTCAAAATCTAGCTTAAGCAGCTCTGCGTGGACACAGTGAATCACTTCAACAAGACGATCATGGCTCTGGTGTGGGAGATTTTCTTGGCTTATTGAAGCAACTGGCTGTTTTTTACCCCCTCATGAAAGATCACTTGGCGTATATGAAATATCATGCTTGGATCCACGTCGTATCGCCCCCCCCCCCGGTGTGCAGAATGAGCTCATCCACTTCATGGAATCCACTGTTCGCCAGAATTTACTGAGACGCGTTCGTAGAGACAAATAAATACTACGTTCATGGTATCATGTTTGACTCAACTCTTGATCAAGCACACTGTGAGCATATTTCAGGGGGAGTGAGGTACGTGGAAGTTGATTTTGAGAGGAAAGAGGTCTGTGTTAAAAAGTCCTACTTTGGTTTTTATCCAGATAATCCAGAAGGATGCTAAGAGCTTTGTTCATGGCAGCTTGAACCAGTAAGAGAAAGGTGAAATGGAGCTGGACGTTTTTGTCGATCTCAGTGTTATGGCAACGCTGCTGTGATGGCCGGACGCAGAAGTGGTGTCCAACAAAGGATAAGTGAGAAATACAAGTTGGCTTTGTGCGTCAATTGTGAAAATCCCTCGTTCAACATGCAGCAAAGCAGGAACCAATGATGGCGGCATTTTTGGGGCCGTTCAAGCCCTCTTCGTTAATTTTTTTCCTCTCGTTCAACACGGCGTTAGAAAAACTTTAAAAGTTCCATGGTTGTGAAGTAATAGTAATAGTCTGAAACTAGGTGGAGCGCATGGGCAGATGCAGTAAACCCCTTTCAACAAGTACCTGCAAGTGCTCCAGGACTTGCATGACATCATAGACATTACAAATGAGACCAGTGAAACATAAAATGAGGCAACCAAGTTGTATAATCACATGTTGAGTTTTGATATTATGACATTGCTGGTATTTTCGGAGAAGATACTCATTATATGCTTTGACCGTGTTCAAAAGAGGCTACAAGATCCTAACATTCATTTTCATGATGCTGGCCTGGAACTAAACGCTCTTCGAGATCATTTTGATGAGAAACGAGAAGTGTGGGTCAGTGAATCTCTCGAAAAGGGACTTGATATCTGTAAAGGATGGAATGTTGAGGTGTAAAAGCGTCGGAGACGAATGGCTGCGGGGAAATCACTAGATCAGTGGTCTCAAACTCAAATCATCGGGGGGCGCGGGAGGTAGAGTCTAATTGAGACTGGGCCGCATCAAGTATTCCACACAAAAAAAAAAAATCGATTACAAATACAATAAAGTACCAACTGTTACAATCTACTCAACCTTTATTAATAACAAATAAAAATATGTAGGGTTCGTAAGAACTGGATTTCAACTTCTTCCTCCACGCCTTGTTGCCAGAGAACTGGCAGCGTTTCTTTTTTGCATAGCTGAGCAATATTTATTGGCTTGAGTGGGCAAGCAACTGAGATCCTCAGTATAGCTTGAAGATGCTCAGCAGTAAGTTTGGCCCTTGAATTTTTGTTTTACATTAACCTTCCTGAACTTAGAATTGAAATGAAGATCACTCAGCACCATTTAAAGCGGAAAAAAGTGGGGGGGGGGGGGGGGGTTTACATCTGCCCCATTAAAGGAGAAAAGGGCAGAAAAAAGTTTGAAAAAAGGTGAGGAGTGAGTTTACATCTGCCACATTAAAGGAGAAAAGGTCAGCAAAAAGTTTGAAATAACAGTGGCTCTGTGTTTTGAAGTCTAAAACATGTGATGAAATTCTTCCTGTTGCTGTGCAATGGCATCAGTATCCTTACTACTGAATGGTGTGTCCGAGTCCATGAGAACTTTTGCATTTTGGGAAATGGATAGATTTCTCTAAGAACCATAACACAAGTTTTGTGCAGAATGCCCTGACATTGTCACAGGCAATCTGACAAGTTACCCCTGGTCTTGTAATTTCTTGTTGAGTACATTCAGCTCCATTTGTAATGTCAAGAAGAAAAGCCAAGTCCATGAGCCATTTGGGATCACTTAGTACAGGAAAAAACCACCTCATCCTTCTCACGAAGACTTAAATGCTAAAACGTGTTCAAACAGTTGGCAGGAGCAGGCAATATTTATGAATTATTGATGCGAAGGAAGATGCTATTGTAGGGGAGAATGAATTTTGATTTTTTATGTAGAAAATGACTTTGACTAACCCTATTTTGAAAGTGACAACCTGACAGGCCCGGAATATCCCTCAATCGTAAATACTAGGGGAAATTTTAATGGTTATTCTTTGATACTGTGACAGATTGGTACGATTGTGCATTACCCACTAAATGACTTTTTAAATTTTAAACTTTTCTCAAAACCGCACTTTGGCCATGGCCATGTTTGTTTCATAAAATGCTATAAAATAAAAATTTAGTCCGATTTTAAAACGGATTTTACCATTATAATCAACGTCCAAATCTACACAAACATAATAAAATCAGAATTATTTCGGAGAGATTCGTCTGAAACCGTCGCGGAGGGTCACATTATAGAAATGAGAATGGCGAAAACGCGCGGGCCGCATCAACACTAAAACTCTTTTGTCATGTAGCGGGCCGCAAAATATCGTCTTGCCGGCCGCAAATGGCCCGCGAGTTTGAGACCCCTGCACTAGATACCGGTACTGGGTTAACGTAGAAAAATGAAACCGATATGGTCATCAAGGTAACACTCGACCGTATTCAAAGGTTCACTCGTTTGAAAAGTTTTGTTTCTCCTCGACATCGAGGGACTGTGTTGTGTGGACAGTGAACTTTAACAAAAGCTTGAGTTTTATGTGAATTTTACCGCCCTGATACTGATAGCAGCTATATGAAGAGATTTTTTTTTATTGCAGATGATGCTATCAAGTCGTAGCAACATAAAGATAGCACGGCCTGAAGAACTTCTAGAGTTCATTTTTTAATTTGGAGATGAGAGTGAGAGTCTTTCCTAATCTTCACATTTCTTTTCAGATAATCATTGTATTTTCCATTGCCAGTTGAAAAAGATAGTTCAGTATAATGAAATTAAATCTTTATAGAAGTGAAGGGCATATATGTGAAAGTCAGACTCTGTGATCTTGCCAAACTCAGATTATAAACTGAGAAAACTGACTTTGATCACATCATATAACGGTTTGGATCAGTAATAGCATGAAAAGTGCATTTTTAATTTTTATCTTGTGTCAATAAAGTGACATGATTTGTTAATTAAAGATTTGTTAAATTGCTAATTTAATTTGATATTAAAAGAAATTAAAATAATAACCATTTACACTTAAACTAAGTTAAACGGACTTATGAAATTAAATGTAAGAATCCGTTTTTTAATTATTATTTTTGCAGTTGATGCACTCAGAAGTTTTAATGTAAAAAAACAACTTAGGAAGGTCTATTTTGAGTACAAGATTTGAATAATTCTAAGCTGTGTTAGATCCAAAAAGTGATTTATATGCTAAAGATTTAGATTCCTTGACCATAAAAACCATTTCTGGAATTTGCAATAACACACTACTAGCATCATTATCAATTCAATAGTTATTCAGAACACTCTTGGAGTTAACACTGCGCACATTACAAACATGTACAGCATACACGCAGTATATTTTTCTATCCTTTGAAATTTAACTTAAAAAGGCATTACATTTAAACATGCTTCCAAGTCTTCAAAAGTAACCCCAAAATTTGTCAATGGCCAATGCAAATTACAAATAAAATCTGACTTCCCACCCCACCTCCTGGACACAAATACCCTGGGTACGTCCCTGCATATTCCTTCTTTAGAGTCAATTTTTGTTTTGAAAAGTTATGTTTTATTTTACTATTTATAATTCTTGATATTTGGAACCTAGAGTTTGATATAATCTGGGGGGCACCAAATTCGTTTGAGTGCTTAGGGTATCCAGATGCTGTAATCTGGCCCAGCTAGCTCATCCCTTTGTCTTATTTGCTGGGCATTTCGCTTTGATATTTTCAAATGTGACTGGATAAACATTTTACAACAGTAAAACTCAACCTCCGATTACCTTTACTATCCTCCCATGCATGCCAGGGATTTGAACAGAAATAAAATAAAACAATGCACATATTCCAATGTTAAAATATACATACAACCAACAAACTCTGAAGCTGTTACTCTAATTCTAACATTTGCATCACTAATCCAGATTCAACACTAGTTACTGCAATGTTAAGTGTTTTGCAAGAAAAACAAAACAAACAAAACTGATCTAGCTATGTTTTCGAGAATTTCTTTGCGACTCTGTATTTTTGCTACCGTGGCCCGGTACAGTGTCATGACGAGGAATTTGGAAAACTCTGGTCAATACTGTAGGCCTTTGTTATTTATATTACTTTTATTTAGTCAAAGTTTAGAAAGTGGAAAAGGGAAGTAGAATAAAGAAAGATTTTTAAAAAAGCAAAAAGTAAATAGCAACAACAGGTTGTTGTTTGTTTTTATTCTTAAACTTAAACTTTAAGATTTATTTTCCACATGACTTGGACACTATTGATAATAAGAGTAGACCTGCGTAAAAGTGTTTGATATTCAGCCATCTCTTTTTCTCTTCCAATGCAATGTTTCACAGTAGTTTCGCTGAATAGATTAGCATTTGTTATTCGGGGATCCAAGTAGATGTGATCATATATAATATTAATTTTAGCGCTGTAGCACAAGAGAGATATAGGCTATGCATCTAATTTTTATTACCAAACCAGGAACATTTGTACCTTTTTCCCTGTGGCATTAGATTGAATTCCCAAATGGCCGCTGGATCAGAAAGATGATAATAAGTATAAGTTCATATCAACAAATAAAAAGTAATTGATGATTAATTATTTTTTTTTGGGGGGAGCTGGTGTGTATGTGTGTTGTCCTCAGAAATACAAGGTAAGGGAAAAGTAATTTTTATTTTTGAAGTAATTTTATTTGATATGATACAGTTACTAAGGTACCATACTTAAGTATGAAATTACATTGGTGGCTAATTAATTGGCAATAATTCCATTTTCTTACAACCCTAATGTAGGCTACATTAAAGAGGCCTATGGATAACTTCCTGAAAAAAAATGATAAAAAAGCAAGTGTATACGTTTTAAATGTTTATTTGGAAATAATAATTTCTAAATGAAATACGAAAAAAAATAATTAAAATTAGAATGCTTCCACTTAAGAACAATTAAGCAAGGTCTTTGTTCACTGCAGGTCTCTTGCACAAATCCTGAAACAAACAATGTAAATATGCGATGTAGTTTAGTATATACACATGAATTTATTTATTAGGGTGAAACTTAATTAAGATCTTACAAGGCTTCATTGATAATTATTTATTACAAAATAAGTGCATTGGAATTTTTTTTTTCAACTTTTGTATTACCGTAATTTAGTCTCTCATTAGTTTCTTTGCTTTACTATGTTTCTCTTATTAGTTTTTTAAATTAAGTAGGTTGTAAAAACAGAACTCTCAAATAATATTACATTTAACCCACAAACTGTCCATTGTGTGTTTCTTCCAATTATTATTTGTTGGTACAAAATTATCTGCAACATAGTTTTGAACAAGTCCTGTTGTGGCAGCATCGCCTATTCGTTCTAGGCTTAGGTCTGCATCATCTGAACTTTCGCTTTCTGACCCACTATAAAAATAATCGTAATTATCATTGTTTTCGCATGAGATTGGAAAAATCAAATTCCGAATCACTTAAGTCATTAACTAAAAAGAATCATCAAAAAGATTTCTAACTGATTTATATTGTAAGCCAGATGGTCCAGCTATGGCCTCATCCACTTCACGAAAATCTAAAAATTTTGCTTGATAAAGATCATTGTAAAAATAACTCATAAACTTAAGTTGATTTATTATTAAAAGGAAGTAGTTTTATTTGGTGTAAAATATTGGACTGGAACTTATTCTTTCAATGCATTTTTTATCGGCCGTTTTTATCGGCCGACACAGTTTGGGAAGAGGAAATCGGCCGATCAGTTCGTGGGTTAGATCTAATGATAAAAACATAAACAAATGTCACAAAATTTCTAAATTTTAGTACCTTTATATCATCATTTTCCTTATTTACAAATCACAATAGTTGATTCAATTGGTGAATCTGAGTAGGAATCCGTACTCTGTGGAGGTCCATTAATAACTAACATCTGCCTCCTAAACAAAATAAATGATGCCGATATTCCAACCAAAAAGAACAAAGCAAATCCAGTGGTAAAAATGGATTTGTACTTAGTTGAAAAGGGCATATTCTGAGGACAAAACAAAAATGAATAAAATCATCTGCACATTAAATTAAATATTGATCTAGGAGACAAATGCTTTACTTATATGCCTAGGTAAATACTAATGCCCCCTCCCCACTATTACTACTACCTACTAGTACACAACACTACACACAAAAAACTGTCAACAGCACAACTAGATCTATAACTATAAAATATAAATAAGCTATTGAGTATTAGTGGAAAAATTAACTTTTCGTTAATTTAATATTTGAAAGCAATGAATGGTAATAAATTTAACAAGAAAACTTATGAAAGTGTGCCATTATTTATTGAATTGCAATGGCAATTGGATTTATTTATATTAATACTTGTAATTAATTATAATTATAAGTAATTATTTATAAGATTAAACAAGTTGTTTTGGGAGAACATAATAATAATAAAAATGAAGGATAATCATGCTGACTACACTACTACATTAATGAAGAATATTAAACAGAACTTCACCGATCCAGGAATGCCTTCTTGTTGCCATCCCTGATGAGCAAATACATTTGGTGTGGCCGAAAGCTTTCTCTTGGAAGGAACTGCACTAGGCGTCGCCGCTCTTTTGAGAAAAGTATTGAGTTCGTTCTTGAAGTGCCTTGATAACATAGCCATAATTTGCCTTACTTATATGTGGAATATCGTAAAACCTTCTTATCAAAATTGTATAGAGAATTTAGACAATTGATTTATAATTTATGCAAACAGCATGAATGTTAAAAGGTATTTAACTTTCATGTAAACTGAATTTCAGTTAAAAATCTTTTTAGGAAATGCCAGATTTTTATTTTAGAATATGGTAAACATAGTTACGGTTTTAAATATCAAAAGTGAAGGCCTTACTTAATTATTCTCTTATTGCTTGCCAACGTTTTTGGGAAACTGTCTTGTAACTGCTTAAGTAAATTAGATTATCATAAATATCTAGGTGAAGAATATTTCTGGCGCCCCGTAACGGCATCACAAAATTAGTATTTTAAAAAAATCATAAATAATATTTAAATTTAAAACAAACAAATAATTTAACAACGCGAATCTTCATGATTAATTCATTAGTTCCATAAATTGTATTATCCTGAAGGTGTTACAATCGTAAATTTCATCCAAAACGAATCAGTTTTATGGTGCTGGTGACACGATACAGGGCCTATAGCTTACGGGGCTGTCCATTAAATACGTCAACAAAACATGTGGGAAAAAAGTGAGGGGTGGGAGGGGGGGGGGGTAAAAGTTTAAGTTTTGACAAGGAAGAGGGGTGAAGGTGAGACAGCAAAAATTGACGTCAATAATTCTATTTTATTTTCTTTGATATAAATATATATGTATTATTAATTGGCCTCCATAATTTAATGTAAAATATTGTGTTAATTTCAATTTTATTGGCTATAAAAATTATAATGGTTAGATTAGTCCCTGCTCCTCATTATTTTTTTTTATTTTTTTTTTTTGCGGCCAATAGTGTCTCTGCCAAAAGATTGAGATGGGTCACGGCAATTATTGAACAAAGAGAGAGAAAATGCTAATATTTTTACAGCTAAATGGTCAGATTATAAAAGGATGATGTCAGCTGGTCCATAATAATAATATTAATACAGAGAGGCAGTATTTACTCTCATTTGAATGAATAGCAGAGTTTTAGGTTTTATATATTTAATTTTCATTCGCTACAACTGTGGCTATTTTGGAGAAAGGTTGCCCACTTTGGTCTAGAAATGATTATTCAATAATGATGCGTTTCACAATGTTGAGACGTCAAGTATGGACACTCAACACAATGTTCTCCTGATCTCCTGTAATAATCAAAGCTATCTTACGCACCGCGCACAGGAAAGACGTTCATTTATATGCACCAATAAAACTTACAAGAAACATTGATGACCGAGCTAGCCGCATGGCAAAATCCTGATTTCTCTTTATTTGTGTAGCTCATATTAAGGACAAAATACAAACGTGGATCTCCAGATTTTCCTACGGCCCGAAATGTGTTCCTTCAAAACTTCCACACTACACAATCTCAGAAACACACCCGGATCTATCAAAAAAATTTTCACAAACCCTTCATAATCACCGACATCTCACCACTTATGACACACTTAATCCAATTACTACAATAAGGATAATTAAGGCAATGACAAATTAATCATTTGCTATGCTCTATTGCAAAATAGGAACATTTGGCTTATCAACATGAATATGAAAAAAAACACAACCTAGCAATAACTTTACTAACAATAATATTTAGAACTTATCAAGTCTTAAACAAATTCAGCAATAGATTTTAGTTGTTACAATGTTTAAAAATTTAATTGGTCTATGAAATTTTAACAAATGTAATATATGTGTTGTTCCCCATCTAGGGTTGTCTGAAGAATTAGATAAGCAATCCCTAACACTAAAGTTTTTCGTAAAAATCCTTTATAGGCCTATTAATTAAAAAAAAAAATATATATATTTTACATTAATATTCTAATGTTCCACCGCAGATTTACTACACCAACTATTTAAAAAACAACAACAAAGAAAATATTACGCACCAAATGCACTTGCAATACAAACCAACAATGCAGCATCAAAGGCAGGGACATACAAAACCACAATCATTTCATTAGAGACCTTATTCAATATTCAAATGACAAAAACATCCAGACTTACATATTATCCCTAGATCAAGAAAAAGCCTTTGATAGGGTAGACCACACATACATACATAAAATATTACAAAACAACAAACTGGGGGAGTATTTTTGTAATTGGGTTAAAATTTTATACAAGTCACCCATTAGTAATCTTATAAACAAGACACTTTCTAAAGACATTAAAATTGACAGATCAGTTAGACAAGGGTGTCCACTATCCCCTTACCTTTATATCCTATCCTTTGAACCCTTGTTAGAGAGAATTAGAAGGGAGGAGAGTATTAAAGGAGTAGAGATCCATGGGGGTAAGGAGATGAAGGTCATTGCATATGCAGATGACACAAGTTTTATTCCTTTTGCTGATAAGTCTATTTCAAATATGATATCAATATTTCAAGAATTTGGTAAAGGTAGTGGGTCTAAAATTAACATACTGGTAACTAAATCTGAAATTATGGGGATTGGTAGGTGGAAAGATAGATTAGAATTCCCTTTAGGAATATTAAGGAAAGATAGTCTTAGGATTTATGGGATTTATTTTTCAAACAAACAGACTCAAACTAACACAGAAACATGGCAAAATATTGGATAATCTATAAAAAACATAATTAGACAGACACAAATACACAGCATACACAATTTTTGGCAGGAGCACAATCATAAACACATATGTAATTCCCAAAATAATATACACAGGGAACATATGGGGGCCTCCACCAACAATTTTAAAACAAATCAACAATACAGGCACTTAGAATCAAATTAATAGGACAAGCAATTAGAAAGAAAGATGAACATATATTTACACATTATTACATAGGGATAAGGTTAGGACAGTTAATAAAAATTGACAACAGCACATCCCATTACATGGGGATAAAACAATCGGATTTTCATATGGCATGCATCCAAGCTTTAAAAGGCAACGAAACACTTATACACAAAACAACCAAAGAAATTTACAGACATTTAATAAAGAAACAAGCAACACCACTCTACAATAGGATAAAATGGACACATATTTATGGAACAATAAACACTAGAAATACATTTAAAAATACACACATCAAAGAAATAGAAAATAAAGACAAAGAAATAACATATAGACTCATGTACATCATGACACCAGTCTCATCAAGACCGTACAAGAACAGAGTTAGGCATACAAAATGTCCACTCTGCAGGAAAGGAGCTGATGAGACAGAACAACATTTATATCTGACATGCAACACAATCTTAAAGACTAAATCTACACTTAAACAAATCATACAAACAGGTACAGTTCACCCAGTAGATAAAGACAGAGCTATAACACTAAACACAATACCAGAATCCAAAAACAAGAAACAACACACAATAAGTTTAATCTTACTTTCACAATACAGAAAACATGTATGGCACTACAGACTTAAGGCTTTTTTTTCACAAACATAATTACACAAACATTACATTAAAAACAATTTTTAGATTTAAAATTCAAAACATAATTCAAGATATAGTTTAAGAAAATATAATCACTGAATAATACATTAAATTTTTTTTGTTATAATTCCAATTCATTTATACATTATGTTAAATAATTCATAATAGAAACAAATGTTTAATATAGTACAAGCTATTTATTTAGAATTTCAGTAACTAATTATGTCAATAAGTTATTTCAGCACATGATGTAAAACTTTGTTCAGATAACACTTCGGTAATTGTGCCTGTAAATAGTTTAATCTGTATGTAATTTGTGGATCATTAAAAAAAAAAAAAGTGCGAGTACTCTCGTAGTAACGAATTGGTTCCTTACTTGTAGAGAGGGAACGTCAAAATACCCTCTTTCTCTCACACACATCACCTTCCTCACCCCTTCAAGCAAATCATCGATCGCCCAATCTCTCTGCACTTAAATGTTGACAGTTTGACAGTCAATACAATACTGAAATGATCCTTAGTCACTTTAATGTTGACAGTTCAATACTGAAATGATTTTTCGTGATGCACTTTAATGTTTGCATGTCAATCCTGGAGTAGGCTTTAGGACAGTGGATCTGAAAACGCGACCACTTGGGAATCACCCAATAAGCCAGGGGTCGCTTGAGAACAGAAACTTGAAGTTTTTCTTAAAATATGCATTTTAAACCTATTTGTAGCCTACCATCTTTGATTTTAAGTTATTTTAAAAATTATATTCGGTAATCAGAGTTTAATTCTTAATGTCACTAAAATGTAACCATATTCCAGCATTACGAACTACCCGCCCCTTATTTTCTAAACTTCAGTTTTTCATATTTTAGGAATAATCCTGGCTAAGCTGCAACAACTTGGTAAATGTCATCAATGAGTTAAAGCACTAAAGGGTGTACGTTAAATGAAATTCTTTTTTAACAAATATCGCACGTTTGGTGCAAAATATTTTCTTTCTTTAAGTTGGTGTAATAAATCTGTGGTGTAAAAGCGGGTGGGATACTAGATTAATATGAAATATGCATATAAAGGAACGAATACAAAAAACTTTGTTTTCAGGGGTTGTTTAATTATTCTTCAACACATTAAAGCAGTAATAGTTTATTTGCATATAATATAACTTGCGGTTCTCCCTTTTAGAATAAGTACAACCATATAAATTATTCATTGCATAAAAGTGCAATGTGTTTGATTAAGCATTCAGAGTATTTTTAAACTCTCAAACATGTTTATTTGAGGAAATCTCTATTTTATTGCAATGTAAAAAACAGCAAACATACAAAGTAATTCATTTTAGTACTCCACTTCACAATATCCAGGTCCCAGAAGTTCCTCAGCACTGAAACCTCTCCTGAAATATAAATTTGAGTGTTTTAATATAATGGAGTATAGAATTACAGTTTAACATGCCCTAGAATCTTTTTCCATATAATTGCATTAGACTAGGATAAAAATTTATATTCAAAGTCAAATTTTCTTTGTAAGAAAATTACAAATTTATTCCAAGCATTTAGTGAGAATTGCATGAATCTGGTAAGGAAACCTTCAAGGCCAACAAGTAAAGAGGTCCCACGACTTACAAAAAAATAAACTTTCTGGTGGATGACCCCAGCAGTGTACAGCTGCAAATAAATCTCAGGAAGAAATGTTGCCAGTCATCCTTAAAAATATTTTCC